TACCTGTCCTTGATTTAGATTTTAAAGGGTTTGCCATGGGGCCCTATTAAAGTTTTGCTATGGGGCCCCATGATCTGTCGTTACGCCCCTGTATACATTATATACCTTTCAAGCACCGAGAGCCTGGAGCTGCTAATGTATGATGTGAGAGTTTCAATGCCAAAATATAAACAGTCCCCCATGTGTCCTGTCCCCTGACTTTAACTGAACCTGTAAAACACTTCCCCCTCACCTAAATCCTATAATGCAACCTTACCCCTAAAAGGGCCCCTAATCTCCCCCTTACAACGAACCCTAAAACTTGACCCCTGACCTGTGCCTAACACTTAAAGCAGAACTCCGGGCAAATCAAATCTTGACTCTTGCAAGGGAAGTCTGTCTGGAAGGGTGTCTGGAAGCTAAAATAACAAAATTATACTCACCGGAACCACGATCCTGGCTTGCTCCTAGACCGGTCCCTGGAACCTCTCTCACCCTCCGCTTCATTGGTCTAATGTCCTGTGAGTCACTACGTCCAATACTGAATATAGAACGTGAGGATAGTGAGGGACATTCCATCGCTGGAGCAGAAGAAGAGGCAGGCTGGAGGGAGCGGTGTAAGTGCATGCTGGGGTCATAGGTCAGGTGAGCATAGCTCTCTGTTATTTTAGCTCCCTAGATAAAAGAGGTACTTAACTGCAGTATGGGCAGAGGCATCCCAAGGTCGGGGTGACACCCGGTGCGGGTAGTACCCGGTGACACCCGGCTGTGATGTCATTGCGCACGCTGTATCACTATTACCTGCCAGATAGAGGAGGGGAGGATAAGGTATGCTGCCGGGTCCCCTCCTCTCTCTCGAGCAACTGTCGGGCTCTCGGTCCATGACAGAGTGCCTGACTTATCAGAGTGGGTGACGCCAAAATGACTGTCATTCTGGTGTCACCCCCTCCGAGGGTGTCACCCAGGTGCGGGCCGCACCCCCCTTGTGACGCCACTGAGTATGGGCAGGGCTGTAGCTACCATGGGGCGAGTGAGGCACTCGCCTCAGGCGCAGTTAAGAGGGGGCGCAGCCAGGGCCGGCCTAGCTGCCCCCCTCTTGCCATGGTAAGCACAGGGCACCATGGCAACAGGACCAGGCAACTAACACAGCCGCAGCTCGGCAGGGAGAAGAGGAGCGGCACAGGCTCCAGCTTCTCCTCTAATCCCAGCTGCTCTCCCCTGCCTGGAGGCTGGGCAAATGACGTCACATGATGCCGCGTGTGCGCCGTTGGGTGACATCACACGTCTGTTGGGGAGGGGGTCACAGTTTTCTGTTCTTGCCTCGGGTGCAAAAGGAGCTAGCTACGGCTCTGAGTATGGGGGTAGCCGCTCTACAAGGGGTATGATTTTATTTCTGCTTAAGTGGTACCTTACCCTTTTTAATGACACACACTTATAAGGCAGTAACATCAGCACACTTGTACTCCATTGATACCTTCCTCCCATCCCTGTTACTGACTACGGTGGCTGAAAGAGCATTGCAACGGCGATCCACCGAGCGTGGTTGCAATGCTTTACTGATTCCAATGCAAAAAAATAATAAATGCATTTTTTTTTCTTTTATGAAGAAGTGTAAAATTAAATAATAATAATT